AATAAACAAGTTGTACGAATGGACTGTTTAGTGGAATTCGCCACTTAATTTTGACAACAGTGGATTTATTCACATTAGACGCTGTATTAACTTAAATCTGATTATACATAAACATACACTGAAACCTGTCAACACTGTTCGTGACGGGTTTAAGATATAGCAACAATCTGAACTTTTCTGAGCACATTGCACCTCAAGTATCCAAAGCTGGAAAGCTCATCGGATTCGTAATGATAAACTTCAATAATATCGAATCGAGATTATTATCATACAGAAAATGTATCGTACTCATTTTTGAATATGGTATTTTAATTCACAGTAATTTCAGGCATAATGACCTGATTAAAACTGAAGGTCTTCAAAGAAGGTTCACCAAAAATGTTCTGGAGTATTCCAACAACAAAGACTATCACCAAAGATGTCAACAACTCAAGTCAGAACCTCTCTGGATCAGACGTATCAAATTAAACCTTGTCTTTATCTACTGGCTTATAAACAGCATTTCATACTCTTCGGGATCCACCGCTTCATAATTTAAAATATCAGCCTTTAATCTAAGCAATAAGGAGGATATTCTAGCGATTTCAAGAACCCACACAAACTTACGCCAGAAATTTTTCGTTATTCGCTACTCAACCATGCGGAACAGACTGCTAGTGAACCTCCGTTGCAGTGAAACTAAAACCCGGTTCAGAAGTCTCCTTGATGATTTTCTTTCCGAAAGTGGATTGTGTCATCTATTGAATATCAATGTGTTTAACAATAGTTTATACAAAAAAGGTCCGTCATCCATCTTATTGGCTGAAAAACAAAATCTAACCTTTGAAACTTTTCACGTCTTATTTCTATTCATCTTGATATATGAAGTCTGCTTATGTTCGTATTTATAATTATTACCGTTTTTAATTTCATTATTAGTCCCACGACACTTTAGATACATTTTTTTATCTCGTCTTATCCTTCTAAACATATTTAACTCCAGATTGTCCTTTGAAATCAATTGTGAACTTCATAGCATCATTCTTAATTATGATTGCACAAATGTTAATACTAATATCAGGTTACACTCTGTATACTATTACATAAATCTAAATGTATTCATTCGAGTGCACTAAAGGATTTTTATTTCATTTTTCTCAATCGCTGGTTTACTTCTGAGGTTGATATTCACTACACAACTATTATCATGGTTGAACCTTTTCACTAGGTGTCCACTTCATTGCTCCCTCTTTTTTTCCTTCTAAATAAATGTTATTCTTAAGATTACGAAGTTTGTAATCAAGACAACAACTTGTGTTAAATTTAAATTAACTTCTCAGACTCGTTTTATCTTCACTATGCATATACGACTCATACATATTTATATTACATTATCCCTTTCACTTAATTGAGACTTTCATATCATCACTCCAAACTATGACTGCACAAGCATTTATTCCAGCGTCATATCTTGCTGCAATAATAAGTTATTTTTTCTTAATTACTTTCTATCTTATTTTTGTTACTAATTTGACGGCACATACATAGTCGTTTATTTTTGTTCTGTGTTCATAAACACGCCTTTTAAACTATTTGTATATTACGTCTTCTTTATTTCTATTACCTCATTTTCTTCCTATCCTTCTTTAAACTCAATTCAATATTCTTCTCAATTACACAGAACCTGATTTATTATTATTATTCTATTATTATTACTCTCTATTTTCAAATATGGGAAATATAACGCTAACACTATTGAAACTTGTGTATTATTGCATAAATGTGGACAACCAAACTGTTTGTTCCCTGTGGAGGAACGAATGCAGTGTGATAAGTGCAAAAAGTGGTTCCATAAGGTGTGTACCCGTTTAAGTCTCACTACATACAAAAAATGCTCGAAGCCTAACTTGCGTTGACTTTGCATGTTTCACTGTGCAAATAAGACGTTACTAATACAGAAGGCTAGGAGCCTATTGGCTTTGACCAGTAAGAAGAACGATGGCGCATGCGTTGATAACACGAGCAATGCCAGTGACGAATGTGTCGGTGTAGTACGTGCTGTTACGAGACGCCTCAAACAACGGACTTTGGTTGACGGAAAAGTGATATCTCCGTTAACATTAACGAATATTATTGTGAGCAAATCGCTGGAGTCAAACGACCATGATCCCAAAATTAGACACGCGCATGATTTAGAGAAGCTAAGAGAATATGTTCGTTGTATCTTACCAGAAAACTGTAAAGAAGTTCAGGTCAAATAACTGGTTAGAATAGGTAAGAGGACCGAGGACAATGTTGAATCCCGACCATGAAGACTCCTTAAGGTAAACCTAGGATCGGAGAAGCAATGAGATCTCTTGTTAAGTAGCGCTCATGGCCACGACAATCTTGATATCCAAGTTAAATCTGACATTTCTCTCATAGATAGAATAAAAAGAAAGAAAGCACCAGCTGAACTAGAAATCCGTCGGCAAAACGGTGAGGAGAACCTCCAGCTAGTGGGTTTTAGGATAGTCAGGTCTTGTAAGCGAATGCTATCAAGGCCTGTGCGGATAATCCGTTCTACCTAGGAATTTTATATGCTAACGCTCGTAGTCTAAGAAATAAGTTACTGACCAGCAAGCATTGATGATGAGGGCGATGACTTCAATCCACCCGTGTTTTGGGGGCAAAACATTTTGAAAGTATCAGGCTCTTTATGATTGATAATAAGTCGATGAATCTTTAATATTGATTGTATTCCTACGCTTACCACTCAGAGCCATGTTTCCAATTTTATGCTTGATTAGCTATTCTACTAAGACAACCTATAACATGCTAACTTGGAGTTTTTCACTAGAATTTTGTGACTGGCATCGGATGGACAAATAAAGAAAAGAAAGAAAGAATCAAACAATAAAAGATATAGTCATTAGTATTCTTAACACTTCATCCTCTATATGCACACTCTCTTCTAATAAACCGCTTTCCTTGTACCAACCGTGACTTCCCTTCCCTCATGTGAGCTTACTCCAACTTGTTAAATGACACAACTAACTGTTCCTTATTACTACATTCACTAATATGGAGCCTGTGACTCCATTTCACTCTAACAAGAGATAATATGAATTTATTCTAATTTATTATACCTCTGTCTGTTCTAATGCACAATGTTAAGCAACATTTGGCGTTCATATTCAAGTGCCTTGCTACTCTTCTGTTTCTCTTTTTTTCTTCTTCAGAACCTTGCTCTGAGGGCACAGCTATGACACTTCTGACGCCTGAAACAAACTTGACGTACGTTTCTCCTCAAAGTCATTGGTTACAGCAAGTGCTCTACGAGTCAACTTTAAAACAATTATAAACTTAATAAGTTGGGAAGCATGCTGTGCATCAACAAATGTTGTAATTTATAGATCATGCCTGTAAAACTGGCGTGTACCTGCACATGCATATATATATATATATATATATATATATATATAATATTAACTAGAAGCACCAGTGGACACATTAAGGCTACTCACTGTAGCAGTGACAGAAACGTGGCTTAGTTGTCCTGATGATATTCATCCTAGGATTATGAAAGCCATATAAATGTAATTACTGAACCATTAGCAATACTGTTTGACATGTCTCTGAGGCAGTCTAGACCGCCTAGAGACTGGAAAGACGCTATAATAAGTCCGATGTATAAGGTTGGGAGTAGGGATTTAGCTAGTAACTATAGACCCGTTAGTTTTACTAGTACGTCTGTGATATTGATTGAAAAAATCATTCGGATATCTGTTATAAACTATGTTGAAGGGCATAATTTTTTCTATAGGGAATAATATGGTTTTCGGAGAGGCTTATCATGCTTGACAAATCTCATTGCAAAAGATCGGAATATTCCTGTAGATGTGATCTTCATAGACCTAAGTAAGGCCTTCAATATGGTCTCCCATTCTGGTCTTAAATTCAAACTGGAAAGTTTGGGAATAACTATGCAGTCATAGATCCGTTAAGTAACATTCTCCATGGCAGTAGACAAAGGGTTAGGGTAAATGGGGCTCTCTCCTCGTGGGTGCCTGTCAAAAAAGAATCCCTAAGATACGATCCTCGGTCTTTTTCTCTTTTTACTTTATGTAAATGAATTACCAACTATAGCGAAATCATCCGTTATACTCTTCGCTGATGATATAAAGATTTAGAGATTCATACACAGTATGTCGGATAGAACAGTATTACAGGGTGATCTTAGCTCATTATTGGCAAGGTTGGACAGGTGGTCACCGTAAGTGAATCCTAATAAGAGTATGATGATGCAACTGAATAACTATGATGATTCATATCACTATACAATATGTGGATTCGTGCTATCCAAAGTAAGAAACTATAAAGACTTAGGAGTCATATCAAGCAGTGATCTAAAAACTACCAATCACTGTAAGGCTGCTGCTACGAAAGGCTATAGGGTGCTATGGTTTATTCGTAGGTTTTTTCAGTATTTAGATGATGAAATGTTTAGATTACTATACCCGATTTACGTGCGACCACATTTGGAATATTGAATTCAAACGGCGAGTCCTTGTTTCAAGTATGATATATACTGGAAAGAGTCTATCGACGAGGCACTAAGATGATAAACGGTCTATCTGACCTATATTATGAAGACAGACTGAGACACCTTAACTTACTTCCTTTATCTTACCGTAGAATACGGGGTGATCTAATATCGGCTTATCGTATACCGAACGATGACCTTGGTATTACCATAACTTATCTTTTACTTCCATCTAAAACTGATCATTTGAGAGGACATTCAAAAAAAGTTCAAAAACCGAGATAAATCGTTTACGTCTGGAGTTTCGTTTCTCTCACCAAGTTGTGAATTACTGGAATTCTCTACCAGAACACGTGATATCAGCACCTTCTGCTGATGTATTCAAAACGAGATTAAATCTCTACAGTAATACAAACTGCAAGGAATAATATAGGTCCATAGACAACCTATCCTTATTATTGCTGACTGAAAACTGAATCATTTGGTTCTTTTGAATCACTGATTGACCTACAAAAGCAGAGCGCGTTTCGTTCTAGATTTATATTTGGGGTAGTTCCGAGCCTATAAATTCAGAGCGACTAGTTTTTGCTGAGACACAGATACTTTATTTTGCTACTGGTAAAACCAAGTAAGTATTAGTTAAGTGTAAGGTCAAATATGATTTCAAAATACGTGTGGTGGTTTTTTTATTTTATGGGGACATATGTCATACGTTTACACTAAATAAACTTATATATTCATAATTCAAGTACAAACTTAATTAGTATAACTACGGACAAATCCATTAACTTTGATTTTCCATAACTAGGCGCTGATCACTGATTACATGGATTTTTCACGATGAGGTCGTATGAGTTTGTCTGAACTAAAGTGTAGTGTGGAGACCATTAATTTGAGTGGTCAAAATCTTAAGTTGCCTAAAATAACTTGTCAAGTTTCAGAATTTCAGCTCAATTCTTGTGGAATGTTCAGTTTTTTATTGTTTATGTGGCTGCGAATTTTCATAATACGCAGCGGCTTTCGTTATTCATTCGTAGTGATTCCAGGTTAGTCACTCCTCTTTGAAAGGTCTCGAATTCCTAACTGGAATGTCACGGAAGTATTATCTGTATACCTAGACAGTCAAAATCTCAAGTTCGTTTTGTTAATGTTCATGTGTGAATAACACTGCATGTATTACTCTATACAAGTTACTGTAATCTCATTTGTTTGAGCTTGTATCACTGGATTTTTTAATCAATAAAACCCAGCTTACCTCATTGCTCTTTAAGCATTGTTCTTTCTTGCTGCAGATATTTCTGTTGATGTCACTTTCATTTGTGACTCTGTACATGTCGTAAAAAGAGGTCACATTTTGTACCATAGTTTGTTTTAGTTAATATTTATCAAAGAGATTCCATTTTGAGTTATTGAAGCAGATGATCGAAAATATTGTAGATTACTTACATTAAGATCCAATAAGCAGCGTCATTTTGCTGAATGCCACAGTAGTTTGTAAGGAGCCCAGAAACATACTCTAGTATCGATCCACGAAATTCTGGTTATCCATGTGAGCCATGTCATTGTGTTCTGACATTTTGGTTGGTCAATTTAGAATACTGCCATGTCTCAGTTTGTCTGGTGGGATAGTATTCTCTCTTAAGAGCCTTATAATGCGTATCAAATGTTTATTTGCAAAGTATACTATGCAATCGGTCATAGCCATCGTAGAATCTGGTATATATCTGGCAGAACACTTAAATTGACCAATATATTATTGTCTGTGTTCGCAACCTCGTAGTAAATTCCACGGTCACTGAAATTTTAGTTCCCTCTTTTCTATACTCACTCTAAATTTTAAATTTGTTGAACGGACTGTATTTCTCATCATTTGTAAATAATCGACATTTTCATGACTGAAAATTTTAATTCTTGTAAATAATCTCCCATTATTTTTTTATAGTAAGAAATCTTGTTCAAATTTTTACCAGGTTATTAAGAAATGTCAGAAGTAAACGAAAGTGAATGTGAAGAATTCTTGAACATTATTAAGTTGTCTTTGGAGGAAGATAAAAGTCATGTTCATGTTGTTGTGATCATCGGAGCCTCTGTAAGAAATACTAGAACGTCTGTTTATAATATATTATAGGGTGACTTGGCAAAGAAGAAAACTTATCCGACTTTATGGTAACCTGATGATTAACTTTGTTACAATCTAGGTGGTTGTTCCGTGATGGTCTTTTGCCCCCTCGAACTTACTTCGTTGGGTTTGCACGATCTGATATTGGTACCCAGGACATAAGAGCAGAAAGTGAAAAATTTGCCAAGGTAAGATTTCATTTTTACAACCTTATTTACGGAAAATCAACGCCGAAGAATTTTAATTACTGTTCCTATTTTACTATCAGATGTTTGCTTCCACCTAAGTTTTCGAAATGACTATCAAACTCTAGGGCGAAATTCACCTAAATTTAGGTATGTAATTTTTTCTATGTATTAGGTCTGATTTATCTAGGTTGGCATATTTGAGCTAATACCTTCAAGTTCTACTAGAAATCATTGCAATATATCTCTGAAATATGAGGTCGCCCCGTGAATATGACTTTGATTTGTATTTCCCACATTTATATTTCAATACTTTTCTCACTTTATACTTCTCGTCTCACTGATTTCTCTTTATGTTGATGTGAAATGTCGCAACGTGAACCGACCCAGATTCGTTCCACGTTGATGACTGACTGATGTACTCGACTTTTATGTTTAATCTTTCGATTAAAAGTATGTATGCTGGCCATACTTTTCTAGTCCTATCTAATTTTTTGATACTTTCAACTCTGTTCACACATATTATTGATAAATTTTTCGAAGCTGTTTTTGATGGGCACAGTTTTTGCTATTTGACTGTCAGCCATTCATTTTTTATTCAAAACTCGTCTCACTTTTCCAATACTTAAGTAGTATGGTTAGTCAACTCTAAGATGTATCTATTGGTTTGTCGTACACTTGTATATTTAGTTATTGAGACTAATGGTTTATGGTTTTCTGAGGGTAAATATTTTTTCACATTATACCTTACCTAGCACATCACTATGATATCTCCATGTGAGTACAATAAAAATGGTGGGATTTTTCAATTCCTACTTGAAAATGAGTACTCCCTACGTGTTGGCTTGTAAAATGTGAATCATTGACCAATGTTAATGGATTCATTTGTAAAATATTTTTTGTAGGAATGGATCATTTTAAGTTCCTTTGAAAAATATCAAAAAATGAACTAGATAAATTTTATTCTTAAATTTTCAGTGAATTAGAATATCTTTCTAATCCACAACATTTATCGTACACATTGCCTTTTTTAAGTTAATTAATTAGTTTTTCGTAGTACTTTACATTATAAACAACTTTTATTTGGTTCCTATCAGCTCTCATCCTCTCCATGTCAAAAATATGAAGAATTTTGGAACTGTAATTTTTACTTGAGAGGAGATTATACGAATCCAAAAACATTTGAATTACTAAATAAGTTTATAGAGTCCAAGTGGGAACAATCTGTTAATCGCATATTTTATTATGCTATACCACCGTCAGTTTATAAACCTGTTTCATCATCTATTAAAGAATTTTGTACTAACAAAAAGTAAGCAATATTTCACTGTTATAATTCTTGAAGTAATTATTATCGGTTGAGTTGTTTTGCAATCTTTTTTCTTCTACAGACAATATGTATAAGAATAATTATTAACTTTTAAAATAAATGAACATATAGATTATTTTATGACCAAATTGTAATCATGATTCTTTAAATTACCATTTGGAGCTCTGTTGAATGAGATTTTCATGTTTATAGTAGTTTACCTTTCAATTTATTCTGTTCATCGAGATGACTGTGAAATAAATGAAGATTTGAATTTTAAACTAAACTGTTAATAATTTGTATTTTGTCGAGGTCACTGTATTCATATGATTATCGAAAGCCTAAGTTATTAATAACTGACATTATTTTTCTAATCAGTCATATTTGTTCAGAACGTTACCATTCCAAAACCAACTAGGCCTTAACACATCACTGTTTGCATTTTGTTTTATGAACAAACTTATAAATCGAGGTTAATAGTAAATTCCATCTATCTATCTTGTGATTACATCCTGAATTGATTTCAGTATAAGTGATTCAGTTTCTAAACTTAAAATTTCATTTAGTTCAGAAAATGTTTGGCTAAAAGCCAAGAGTCTGAAGATGTGTTTTCCAAATTACTCCTAATCCTGAAACACTTTAAATACATTGATCTTTTAGAAAGTCAAACAATGCCCAGCAATTAGGCAGGTAGTCAGGCCTTAATCGATTAAAGAATGAATGACCTACAAGCTTATTTCCTCTAATTGGCTATGATGTTTTGTCATGTTTATTTTGTATTCATATGTTGTATACGAACATGTTATCTGATTATATGGGGAAACTATTCATTTGGCTAGTGGTCTTGTTTCTAATTTCTAACTATTCAGGGGCCTAAGTTAAGTATACAGTCTCGTAAGTAGCCATCACTCAGTAACATTGTATCATTATGTTCATCTACTGACTGGCACTGTATTCATCGATATTAATGGTCGAAATTTCATCTATTAAAATCACAGAAAACCTCTTCCATGACATAAAGTTTAGGAGAAAAGTGTATTTAAGCACGTCGATATCAACTTCTTAATGTTTCAGCCTAGAAGTCCTGATAATTCGCAACATCAAAAATGATCCTTAATCGGTAATGATCGTGAAGCAAATTATCATTGGTTTTGCTAATAAAATGCCCAAGTATATATATATATATATATGTATAAAGTGTATACTACGCTGGCATTTTATTTTTTATGGTCAAATTCTATCAATAACGACAATAGATAATAAAATTATTTGGCCGATTTTTCCTGCTGACATCGGCGAATAATATCTGGGCTTTACTTAACTGCATTACCGAGTCGTTATGATGTGTGTTGATGATGAAAATCTGTCTGTTTCAAAGGAACAAAATTCTTTATCTTAAAGGACTGTAAAATATCTTACAATAAGTGGCGCTCTAAACTGAAACGCCATTTTGATATCACATTCCAAATTTTATGCACTGTTATGAGTCTGGATTGAATTTATAACTTACACGTAAAATCTTAAATTCCGTTCTTAATGTTCGTCCCAAGTAAATCGGAATGCTGAAGTGGCACAATATTCATAGATTATCTGGATTACTGGCACACTGTAGCGTTGAAACACAACAGCACTTTGAATCTTGTCAACTACATTTTGAGGTTACTTGACAATTTAAATTTTTTCAGCCAAGAAATTACATTGACTGATGTATTTTGTCTACTACAATAATACTTTTCCTAACAGGATATATATCTTACTCCGAATTAGTTGTGTGATTTATGTAGAGTGAACCGTTGTCAGAGGGCCTTTAATTTAATTATTGATAAATTTATATTTAATTCATTTGGAACATTTTTTTACACCGCTTCTTAATGCTATACTCGTAAATAACAAAATGACGCTTGGTATTATACTTATTTTTATTGATAATTTAATAGTTCAGGTTGCTTTGTTTTCTGTTTTGTAAGGTAATTACCATAAGGTATATGCCTCATCTTTCGTAGTGGTAGCATCATTATTCTTTTCAAACATATCTTCAGTTCTTTTTCTCAACATATCTCTATGGTTCTTTTGGAATTTGTTTCTGTGTTGTTTGTCGTTGTCTCTGTCCTTATACCCAATCATTATGTAACAGTCATACAACAAACTGCAGTTTTTAAACGTAGTTAACAATAAATGAAACAGTGGTTCATATGTTTTCATGTCTTTCAATAAGTTACACTCTCATCCTTTTGTAGTGAACACGAACACCAGTAGGGACAATCGAATGTATTTGACACAAAATTACAGGACTTGTTAATAAAATCTAACAATCAAATAATAAATACGTAATTTGCAAAATGTACATCAGTTGTCTCATAATGACTCAGACTTCATTGTTCTTGCATTTTCATACAAATTGCATTCTGTTCCCATTCTTTACTGTTCGACCCTCTTGTCTCTCTGCTGCCAGACATGCCGTTCTTGTATAAAGGATATGACATTATGACTGTTCTCTGAGTCTTTTTTTAAGTACTATCTTCATCCTGATCAAGTTATGAAATTGTCCTGTATCAATATTCATTTTGTACTCAGAAAGGAACTAACTTGTGACTTTCATAAATATTAATTTTATGTTGGTACAAATTTCTTAGCCCTGATACGTGGACTCGATTGATCATTGAAAAACCGTTTGGACGAGATTTAGAGTCATTTAATGAATTGAATTCTGAATTAACTAAACTGTTTACAGAAGAACAGATTTATCGAATCGACCATTATTTGGGCAAAGAGATGGTTCAAAATCTACTAATTTTACGGTAAGATTCTTTCTATAGTACTTTATATAATTATTAACTCCCTTATATGTTCATTATTTTTTGAGCCCGTAAATGCATGAGTAATAATGGTAACACATTTTTCCAGTTGTACTATTATTCCAAAGAAGGAAAAATTAATCTGGAGTGTAAAATAATTCGAAATTTTCTAACAAATACTTATTTGTACTTGTTTATTTTTAATCGGTAAAGAGATTTTATTAAAACATATTTTAAGAGCTAACATAACAAAATGAAAATTATATGCCTTATGTCAACATATCTTGTAAATCTCAATCAACACAAATATGAAATCGGAATTGGTTTTAAATCAGATTCTGTCGTTGTCAATAAATCATCACTCTCTATTATATGTATATAAATACTAAAATATACTACTAATGAATGCAATAGATATCTATATCGTGACAATCAATGAAGTAAACATTACATTATTGTTGGAATGCATATTTGATTTATAGGAATCATTTAAAAGTGTCTAGCTAATAAACCAGCTGGTTGTTTATACACACACTCTTATACTGTTTGATTTATTTTCAAGCCTCAATTATCACTAAAACTGATAGAAACTATCGAAACCAATGTTTTATTATCTGTATTTTGTATTCAGTTTAATTACACATGCGTGTATCATATCGTTATTACATAAAACTTTTCTGAACGGTCAAAACATTTAATATTTGGAATATACGAACAAGTTCATTCAATGTATCATGTTTAAACAGATACATATTTGCATTATTATCTGTATGGATAACCTATAGCAGCTCACATGCATTCGAGTTCATTCACATTTAATTTGGTTAAGCCTTTTTGTTAACTTATTGAACGGATAGAGTCATTCGTATAATAATAGCTTATCTATACTATTGTACCTTTATTATTGTTGTTGGATATGTATGCTTGAGCATAGCTTACTGCATACTCATATATTCATTCTGCTAGCCTTACTATTCGCTTAATTGATTCGATGATTCATTCATTTCACTATGTGTATATATGTACATTTTAACCCTATTCATTGACTCGTTCATTCGACTCGCTTTCCCGCTTGCTTTTCGGCACTACTCTTTCATGCTTGCTTAGTTTACCTTTAATTTTGGTTATCTCTGTGTGGCGCAATAATAAACTTAATCAACACTTCATATTCGCCTTCTGATTAATACACCGTCGGGATGTTATCTAGTGACGGTTATCCGGACGAATTGTATACGAAGTTTAAGGATTATATTGAGTACCGGCCACAACAAACCTTTTCAAAACTCTTAATAAATATTTGCTTTACCTGTTTCTCATCGAAAATTTTTCGTGACAAACTTGCCCAACTTAAAAATAAAAACATGTTTTACAAAACATACCTAAAGTAAATGAAATCAAAACATACGTCTGTCGCTAGAAAATATGTTATGCAATCTGTTTGTTCGATCCAGTTACGATATACACACTTCCTAATCAGTTAGCTCAATTGCTAAAAGAATGAAAAGATTGTAAATTGACCTAGGAGCTTTGTCAAAATCAAGTAGTACTGTACACAGGTCATGAGTATTTTTACATTTGTCCTGACTGATCAAGATAACGACTAGTAAGCTAAACGCATAACCCACTTCTTCCAACAGCATACCTCGTTTGTAATCTCTAACCTGCCGTTGAGTCTTTAGATGTTCGGTAAATCGTCTGGCTTCCATAAGATAACGTGTCCCCTATTTTCCGGTCTAGCACCATCCCATCCTCCCAAAATGATTTTCATCTTGTCATTCGCTTAAAGTGAAGACAGACGTGAAACAAGAGATAAACATTTATATTCATATGAAGGGGCTCTTAAAAGTTGCCAAATAAGGAAACAAAACGAACAGACAATGGTAAGGAGATATTGAGATAAATCAGAAAATTGTACGATTGGTTAAACAGTTTTCGTCACAAAAGCCATCACTATAACTATAAAAAGGCTGAACTAATGTTTTAAGCGTTCAATAAGTTACTTTGGTTAGTTTAGTTGTTAAAATACTCCTCCATAATTTTCAGTAAGATTTTGATTTAACCGGTCTTACTCACTATGTTTATTATGCAAAATATTTTCCCTGTTTGATTCAATTTGCTTTTTTTGTTGCAAAAAACAATCTTTCCAGATTCTGTAATCAGGTCTTCAGTCCACTGTGGAATCGTGAAAATATTGATAACATTACAATATCATTTAAAGAACCATTTGGAACCGAAGGACGTGGTGGATATTTTGATCAATTCGGAATTATTCGGTAGGTAAAAATTCTCGTCTACTTTAAAACAATGTATTTAAACGTGTCAAATTACGAGAGTATGAATTATAGCTCATTATTATTCAATAAAAATATTTAGTTGGTTCAGTGCAGATTTGTTCAATTTTTTTGGTTTAATTATATTGTGCACGATATTACTTCTGTATTTCATGGTTTCGGCTATATGTATAGGGTTGTGAATACGCATCGCTGACGAGTTCCAGGTTCGAACGAATCAATTAATCGATTATTCTTGATTTTCAATGGTTCTCCAGCTGTTGTAAGTTTGTGGATAGAATTATCTTGAAATCATAGTTTGACATCATAATTTCCACATATCGGTTATTTTGACAACAGTTGCGACCATAAATTGAAGTCGGTTGAATAACTTATAAAATCAGTGTTGGCACAAACAGTAGTAATTTTGTATTCATCATCGGTAAAGTATAACTTCAATGATAAACTCTTTTCATCTTCAAGTTTATGATGTACCATCAAGTCGTTATTGAATAAGTTATATTGAACTTTAGCTAATTCACATTCTCAGCAAATTCACGAAAATTATCATCTGACTACTGACAGTAAACATGAACTATGTGTCAGTCACTCGGCGTAAAATTGGAGCTTCATTGACAAAAATGTAAAGTGTATATCTTTATATGAACAACCTGACTGCTTGAATGAATGGGCAGGTAATATTATAATCCGAAACAATAACACATTCAAAAGGTTCAAGTGCTTGAAGTAATTAACCAAAAAGACAGTCATCTAAAGTATCGCTATTTAAATTAAAAAGACCCGTTTCCATTCAATTTATGAAAGATGCTTGATCGAACCAAAAAGATTTGTTCTTGTTAGCAATGATTCACGTAATTATCTGTTAGGTATATTCACTGAGAGACATGAGAAAATGTATGATCTAGCGCAATTCAAATGGGGCTCACTTCAAATCAATGTTATTAGGACGAATTGACACCGATAGAAGCAAATGAATCGAAATAATGACATCAATAATAGGTGACAATCTAAGCTAGAAAAATAGCTTTAAAAAATCAAACAAATAATATTAAATAATGAGAAATATATTTTAACTCCAATGTTCAGTGATTTGAAGTAAAATAATCAGTGAATAATGTATTATATATCACATTAATTTTAAGTCACATCACTAATTATTAATGATATTGTTAGATTTGAACTTGGTAAAATTTATAATTAATAGTTTAGTATACTCTGTCATTATAAATTCACTTTCCAAAGTTATCAATGTAAATAATTCATTTAAGTTGATAAAAAAATTCTCAAATAACTCTTTGTTCATTTTTGAATGATATCGAAGTCTATCGATTGATTGAGACGTTACATAATATTATCAAATGCAATTCCGTTTCGTGATATCATATATTTAACATTAGTTTCTATTTATTTATTTGTTTGGACATATAAGTATTGGTATAAGGGGGCGCCAAATACATATGCACCATACAATAACAATGAGACCAGTAGCAGTTACCATTGATTTGTGTGAGATCTGTGATACTGCCCTGGTGCCCAAACCGAAACAGGTGGTTTTGTTAGAGGGCCACACCCGGAGCCTTTAACTTAGAGGCTTAATCCACAAGGCATTGGAGCAACTTCAGAAGATGCAGTCCCATGGTAACCGATGACCAACGATTGATTTATACGCCATTTGTTCCTTCAGGATACTGGAGCCCATGTGCACCATTGGTTTGGAATCAGGGTTTTCCAACTCCCCTAGGTGGACTCCCCATATCCACCAACCCGGTTGAAGCACCGGACATTCGCTTTTCTTCCTCCCGATTTCGTAAACAGCACCCCCGCCTCGAGGAGGTAGTGAGTAGGACTTCCATGGGAGTGGCTGTATACGCGTGGCCATGTGAGAGCATTTCGAGAGGAAGAGCGGACTCTGCCCACTCTCAGCCGTACCAGGGCATTTAGGGGTTTCTATGCACTAAGGGAAACATTTGAATTTTAAAATATTGCATTTCATTGTGTCTATTCATTTAAGTAAACAATATGTATTCTCATTAATTCATCTTTCTGCTTTTCTCATGCTATTTTCGTCGCTAGCGATGTTGTTCAGAATCATCTTATTCAAATTCTTTCATTGGTAGCAATGGAAAAACCTATTTCAGTTAATGCAGATGATATACGTGATGAAAAGGTAGATTGTAATCATTTTTGTTTGACATTTCATTTTGATGTTGTTGTTACCGATATTAGTGCTTGGTTTGATACTAATTTTATAGAGTTGTATTTATCACAGGTTAATTTCAGTTGGACTACAAATAAAAACCAGAAAGCGAAACCGTTGTCACCGGTGGCGTTGAACGGTTATTATGCTATATTATCACAAATCTATATAAGCTAGAATTATACTACTGGAAGCAGACCCAATGGTTCTAATGGCTAAACGTTTACCACGAGAACTGAAGGCTCTAGGTTCAATCCCTGGCAAGGTCGTTGACACATGATGCTGCTGAGTTTTATGCAAGGATAAAACTGCTGTCTAGTGACCCGTGAGTTTTAGTCGTACATGGACTGAGTTCAGTATAAGGAATACAACCTGCAAAATAAACCAATCTCCACAAAACTCATTCAACCAAACTAATGATGATTTATTTTATCTAACAAAATGTAGACTTAAAATATTATCAATATTACAAGAATTTGCTTGAGAAACTTAGTGAAATGCAGTATTCATTATATGAGGAGTTATTTATGCGCATGTCCATGACATATTCAGCCTATATTGACTGGATTGTGTATTTTTGAAGTAGTTTAGTGCATTTGACAGGATATTTAAACAATGAAATATACTCTTATAAAGTCATATTGAGGGATGAGACTATTTTATTTAATGAATACTGTCCTTCATCTTATTTGACTCGTGTCTATTTAAAGGAATTTACTTTGTTGTAAGAATTCTTTGCTTTAATCATTAAATTTTTTTAAGTTACTGTGCTAAATGTACTAAGTCTCTGTGCCATCTGTCCTTAGTAGCCATGTAACGGCGTAAATCCCAGCAAGATAGTATAGTTCTGATGACAACAACTGCATACTATCTAAAAGACAACATGACAACTATTGATTGTCACATATAGTTTCTTAATCAGATATAGATTTCAAGATAGCTCGAATCTTTCGTTGGAATTACTCACTACGAGTATGAAAACGGTAATATTAAATGACCTTTTCGTTGATCGAAATCTGCAGATCGATGTAGTGTAATTAGATCAATCTTTCAAACCATACAACGCCCCCAAATGCCCTGGTACGGCCGAGAGTGGGCAGAGTCCGCTCTTCCTCTCGAAATGCTCTCACATGGCCACGCGTATACAGCCACTCCCATGGAAGTCCTACTCACTACCTCCTCGAGGCGGGGGTGCTGTTTACGAAATTGGGAGGAAGAAAAGCGAATGTCCGGTGCTTCAACCGGGTTGGTGGATATGGGGTGTCCACCTAGGGGAGTTGGAAAACCCTGATTCCAAACCAATGGTGCACATGGGCTCCAGTATCCTGAAGGAACAAATGGCGTATAAACCAATCGTTGGTCATCGGTTACCATGGGACTGCATCTTCTGAAGTTGCTCCAATGCCTTGTGGATTAAGCCTCTAAGTTAAAGGCTCCGGGTGTGGCCCTCTAACAAAACCACCTGTTTCGGTTTGGGCACCAGGGCAGTATCACAGCCCTCACACATATCAAATGAAATTTGTGTGGCACATATGTATTTGATTCGTCCTTGTACCAATATCTATGTGTTAAAATAAATAAAATAAAAACCATACAACAGCAAGCTGAACATTGTTCAATGTTCCATGTTTCAAGTCAAATAATTAGACACCTTGATTCTGCTTTTAACATCGTTTAATGTTTTTCTGTATACATTTCACATAAAACTATTGGGTTGTCATATATATTCCTCATGTAGTATGGGAAATGTTTGAATAATCGTTGACTCAACGTTCAAGTGGACTGTTGTAAAACATCAACCCATCAATGTTAATATTGATTGTTGGTCAAAGTTGGTCGATTAGTAAATACAATGAACATTCTTACTGATACAAATCTACTATAAACTCTGTCTCATATATGTATATTGATACGAAAAGAGTGGTACTGACATTGATACCATAATTTATTTTGAGAAGGATTGATCTATACCTCTTAGCTATATTTCCTTTGAAAATAATATTTTCAATAGTTTCTTTCTTGAGCTGCAAATCAATAGATTACCGACTAATCAGGAATCTCAACAGAATTTTCTTCGTTAAGTTATCGTTGACAATTAACAGGTAGTCCTGAATGTTGTAGTCTTCAAGTTAGTTGAGACTCATTTGCTAGGCATATCTATAATCTATAAGGAATTGGGTTTCTCTGTGGCATTCGAACACGTGTCACATTGAGAGATAATAATACCAAACTATTCGAGCAATGAGTAACCTCTTATTGAACTAAAATATTTATGCTTATTAATCACTCAGTAGCAACAAACGTCATACTGTCCACTTCTCATTCGTAATCCATTCCTATTGATTTTATCGCACCGTGACTACTAGTTTAAGTGGTTCAACATCAAGATGCACTCTGTTTGAATCTGATCGACTTTAATAACTGGATAACATTAAATTGGTTCTTGCAAATTGATCAATTGGTGCAAAAGTAGTTTTCGTGCTTATTTTGCTGTTCACAGTTGGTTGTTATCTCATATCAATGAAGCCTTTAATTTACTTCAAAGTAAAAATCAATAGCGAAGTTTATTGAATAATTTCTCACGTGTTATTTTTCATATAAGTTCACTTAAAATTTGAATATAAAACACGCAGACAGTTGATTATAGCGAAAATGGTGAACAGTGCTTGTTTAAATGTTATGTTGCTGAAATAAAACATCAGTAGTACCCGAATTATGTAATGCAGTCAAGTTCTAGCATAGTAACAACATCTTTAATTAAGAAGTTAAAACAGGTTGTTGTGAAACCGATAGGTTGAACAATGATTAGTAATAAAGTTCAAAGTCATATGTGGTCAGCAGTTAACAATAGCTATAAAGTAGAAAACAATCGAAAATTACGATAGTATGCTAAAATGAGATTTTGTGTATGATAAATCGTTTTGAATAAGGTACTACGTAATAGTTTAAAATGTAGGTCACCGGTTGAGTCTCCAAGAGCTCTTGTATACATTTCTCGTGAATACAAAGAGTTGATCTGATAAAATCGATGTCAGCTGTTGCCAGCCAACTTACATGCAAATATTGCAGCGAACTGAATGATAATCGATAAATTGGTTGAAAAAACGTCATTCAGTTTAAGTTGACTTCCAGTGTATATCAAGTGAGAAAGTAAGAATCTCTCGAAAACTCTTATTTTCTCTTTATTAAATAATGATGGATTTTGTTCAGAAATTCAGTAATAAACGTGTCTGATTAGATTTATGCTGTGATGAGTTACACAAAACCTGTTGAATCGTTACATACCCATGGAAAACTCAGAAAGCTCATCTTTGTTCTTATCTATTAAAATCGAAATATTCGCGCTCGATTTTGAAGGTCCTAGGTTTGAGTTCCGCGAGAGGGGTCGTGGATGCTCATTTTTGAAGAGTCCTACTCTGGGACGAAACAGTCGTTCAGTGAGTTCAGTCCTTCGATGGGTGGTTTAACAATGATCGATTCATGATTTCAGCGAGATATTTAAGTCACACATTTTTCTAAATAACGGATATTTAAAATTATTCCACATGATTCTGTAAGTTGGTGACAAATATTTGCACTCGCATGAGTAACTTAAAGAAAACGTTTGACACAATCCATAAAAGCTTGTTTTTCATACTGTAAACTGTATATATATTTTTAAAGTATTGAATTATTTTCTTTTAAATTATGTAAACCGTTAATACTAAAGACAATATGTGTTATTGAAATGGGTTTTTGCACGGTATCACAGTTTCGTTGACATTTTAACTATACCCATCAGCCTATACAATTTATTTCTTCTTAACAGTTTTCCTTGTTTTTACCACTATATACCTGTGTAATTTTCTCATTGTATTTACGTTTGTACTATACCTCCAATTGACTGGACTAAATCGATGCTTATAAATTGCTAAGTAGTTTGTATACTCTACAATATACTATGTATCTGATCTTTTTTATCCCTTGAGCAATATTTTTCAGAATATTTCTGTAAAGTTGTAGGTTATTCGAATAAGTTTTAATGACAGAAACGTTTGTTGTCGATTCCCTTTACAAAGCATGTGAATTAATTCAATTAAAACGTTATTCAATGGCTCCCCCTATTTTTATATCAGTTTTATTGTCATCAAAATAGTTTCTATTTAACTTTAATCAATTTGACCGCTTGCTTATGAATTTTTAACAATAAATACTATACTAGAATAAAATAATTTATTCATTCTTTAAGAAGTTTTGATTTGTTCTCTAAATGATATTAGTTTTTGATCGTAATCAAAATACCTAGAACTTATAAATTAACGAAATTTCTACAAAGTCATTTTAACTTAAATAACCAATCTCTAATTCACCAGTTATGAACTCAGATTCTTGCCTACTTTTCTAATGATTAAATTTTGTCAAAATAATTTATATCTTTTAAATTGTTTCCTTTATTCAGATAATTTTTCTACTTTATAGTTCAGAATACAGTTGGCTAATGTTAAAATGTCATTTGAGGATTTAGTGTTTGTTTCTAAAGTGAAAAACACTTTTCATTTGGAATTTATTTTCTCTATATAAATATAGTAAAGTTTTCCTTTTATTGAGTATTTTCAAACATATTTTATAATGTAATGCATAATTTAATCTTTATCTAAAATATCTTGGTTACTAATTATAAACTATAATAAACCCTATAATTAGCTTTTTTTCATTTTAAGGACTTATATTCATTTGTAGAATAATCTGTAATCAAAAATTATTACTTTTGGGTGGGACCAGTTGAAAGTTTAAAAAACAAAACAAGTAGTGGATAAGAATAATTTGCCTCGACTAAATTGTTATTTCGTTTTCATTTCTAAGTTGTTTGTTGAATAGCAAATAAAAAGCTACAAATACACGAACTACATCATATGTACCAGGGCATTTGCCATGGTACGGCCGAGAGTGGGGAGAGTCCGCTCTCCCTCTCGAAATACTCTCACACGGCCACGCGTATATAGCCTCTGCCAGGGAAGTCCTACTCACTGCCTTCTCGTGGCGGGGGTGTTGTTTACGAAAATGAGAGGACGAAAAGCGAATGTCCGGCGCTTTAACCGGATTCCAAACCAATGGTGCACATGGGCTCCAGTATCCTGCGGGAACAAATGGCGAATGAACCAATTGTTGGTCACCGGCTTCCATGGGACTGCATCTCCTTACGATGCTCCACTGCCTTGTGGATCAGACCTTTGGGTCGAAGGCTCGGGGTGTGGCCCCCTAAGAAAACCACCTGCTTCGGTTTGGGCACCCGGGCAGTATCACAGCCCTCACACATATCGGATGAGATTTGTGTGGCGCATATGTATTTGGTGTCTCTTTGTACCATTATCTATGTGTTGAAATAAATAAATAAATAAACTACATCATATGTATAGCCTCCTTTGATGGTATCTTTCGATACTTCTATACATGTGCACATTTTAATAGAACCATATTATAGAAAATTTCGTTGAAACTATAATTTATGGACTACCTTTAAGCGACACTAAAGTGGCCTTCAGAATGTCCACTTACTCACTAGGGCTAAATGAGAGTTATAAACGTGTGTGAAGAATAAGGTTTATGATATACAGTTGATGGTTAAGGTTAAGAATTAGATTTTGGGTTTTCATCACGAACTGATATCAGTTAAAATGCCAAAATACTCTTTAACCAAATAGATGGATGAATTCCTCATCGAAATTCAAGACCTGATTGGTTAGTCCATAAATTATAGTGTCGCCAATAATTCTTATCATAGGCTAAAACATAAATATCAGTCTATGAAAAAAAAACAGTGTAACATTCAGTAATCTGTTTCAAACTGAATTACAAACTTTCTCAGAACCATAAAATAAAAGCGATTAGGGAATCGCTAATATTCTTTAGAATTTTGTCTTGTTAATTCTACTCTGTGACATTATTTTTTTAGCACAATTTTTAATAACATGATAAATACCCAGATAATAAACAATGTTAGTGATTTTAATTGTGGTTTAAATACTTTATTAGCATAGTTCTATTCATATGATACTGTTATATATTGAAAAATTTACTTAAATTTGCATTTTTTTGTCTGTCTTCACTTACATCTAACAGAAAAATTTCAATTGTGGTTACATTAATAGACATAAAATCTAAACAAGTGGTATAACACAATTTAATAATGAGTTGTTTTATTGTTTCAAGATTATTAGTACCTATCTCTTCACTTCTATCGTGGACTAAGTTTTTTTTTCGTCGATAAGAAACGTAAGATATGAAGTATTAAGTATTATAAACACTATACAAATTCATTGTTTTCATCCTAGTTTATTTGCGTCTGTAACATCAAAGATATCAGATTTTTCATATTTGTATATTCGAGGTGTATGACCCCGACCGTAGCTGCTACCTTGACACGGTGGTCGGGCTTGCCTATCGTGATGACCCAACCAAGCTATATTGCCTGGAACGTATGTTCCTGTAGGTTCTGTCATGCCAGCCAGGTCGATTGGAGAACGGTATGACTAAAAGTAGCAACTTAAGGTCTGAAGGTGAAGTCGTACTGCTGATTGTAGAGTGATGTGACAGCAGTAAGGTGTTTCCCTCGGACGACTAGCATCTACAGCGATGCTGCCTTCTCACAAGGAAGGAAGGGGTTGGAAAATGTCGACCTTCGAAATGTCACACCTTACCTCACAGATTTCCGTCTCCGGTGGTAAGGCCCTTTGAAGAACGGAGCTAACACGTCAAAAACCTCCCACAAAAAGGCCGTGCGCGACTGGCCTCAATCAGTTGTCCCTTGGGCTCTGCGGTCACGCCACTAGGTCGTTAAGGCCAACATTAATCCAACTTCCTTTTCAGGTTCCTCAAGAAATACCCTTTCACGGTGTGGGCAGCCGGGAAGTGACACCAGCCCTCATACCCGTAACAGCACACGAGACCATGTTGGTCACATTCAAATCCTTCCTACTGACTGACTGACTGGTGTATGATAAAACAAATTCGTGAATTTCATCGTCATTTTTTATTTGTTAAATTTTTCTGTTAACTAATGCTTCAGATCTTTCAATTTGGTAAAATCTATCTGCGACAAAAACGTAAAATTTTTAGTCGTAATGATAAGATTTTAAACTTCATTCACAATTACAATTTCTTGAACAACAATATGTCATTTTAACATGAATCATCAAAAATGGAGTAGATTTATAACCTTTGTTTGAAACTTGTCGGAAGTTTTCTCACACGAGATTGGACTCGTAACTTTCAAACCTCTTGACGAACACATCATTTAGTCAGTGGTACATAATTAAACAGTTCATACATTAAAAATTAATCAATCCGCGATATAACGCAATCTGCGTTCAATATTATTAAAGGGTTACTGCCTGACTGTCGGTTTTGTCAACTTTACATGGTACGACTTCCCAACAGAACTTTCAAAAAGATCTATGTCGAGCATATTATTGCTATATATTGCGGAGTGACTGAAACGAGAAATGTGAATCATCTAGTTCTTACCCTACCGTTTAATTGTAACTTACTTGTTCTAAGATGAAGTCGTGCTTATTTATTTCTCGTTATATTATGAATGGCTTCTACTGAATGCTCCTAAATTTAAGTGTTGCTTTTTGGTGTTCCGTTGTTTTTTGATAATTGTTCAGTACATAAACTGGAATTATACGGCTAGGTAATTTCAACCGATGCAAATCAAATGTTAGATATTCCGTCGCTAGAAAACATTGTCATCGTGCTTCAAACTGCTGACATAAAATCATACGGTGGTTATTTCATAACGAGGACGTAATATATCCAAACGCCTGTCACTCTCTCTCTCTGTTTAGCTGTTATCGGGTTCCAATGTATATTCGCTCTATATATATTAAATATGTTTGATGATATCAACGCGTGCTCGTAACTGCACCTAAAATATCACTTCATAAGTACATGATCATCACTATAGTTTTTACGTATGCTACCGATATTTCGTGGTTTAATTATGTCAGGTTTTAAGCTAAAGCTTTCTACCGTTTAATTTATGTACTGTAAATTATTTTTATAGTTCGTTCGTGTTTAGTTATTAACAGGATTATATTAAGGATTAAAACATGCGAGATTATGTTATGATGGTAGTGTGTGTTTGTGTGGACGTAGAAAACAGTGTAATGTTTTAATAATACATACTTTTTTTTGCTTTATTATATTTTTTGTAGGTTCGTGTGCTTCGAAGCATTGAACCTCTAACAATAGACGACATTGTAATTGGACAATACATTGCAGATCCAAATGCAACAAATCCACCTGCTTCGTTGTCTTACACGGATGATCCGTCAGTTCCTAAAGGTAGTCCAACTTTTTTCCAGTTTTCAACATAAAGCCTTTATACAGTTTTTAATAACTGCGAGATTTGTTTGTTGGTATTCGAATAATGTATGTATCTTTGATTAACTTTATATCATTAGCGTGATTTTTTGAAGGGTCTCATGATTCACAAAACAATGATGCAATCAGTGTTTTTGTGAAATTTCAACAACTGACATTGAAGAGTTTACAAATACAATTTTTATTTGTATAAAGGATATACAAGTGATAATTTTGGTATCTCCTATAATAATATCAATTTAAATAATATTCCATATATCTTCATGAACTCTTACCCGTCATTCAGATTCATATTTGAAGAGAAATGGACTAAACTCTAATATTAAAATGTCAGGAAAATTTTCATGGAACATTCTGAAGGTTCATTTATAAAGAATACCTACCAACTGGAAGATGAATTTGATTATATCTCATCCAGTGAATCTGCTGATTCTGCACTCCCGACGTTGCAGATGAAGAGCTCAATCTTCTCAGAAAAACTAATTTGAAACGCATTTTCACAATTTGTTTAAAAAAACACAGAAATATTCGTTCCTAAGATACTCCACATAAATACTAACTTTAAGGGTAATGCATCTGACGATATCATCAAAATGAAATTCTGTACGGCAACCTTGAAAACCGACAACTTAAAAGAAAACGTTTGGGTCCAGCTCATTCCTTATTCATTTTTAATTCACTTTTTCCTGTGGAACAAGGTATATTTGTCTAAACGAGTTCAGCGACACCATCTCAGCGACACTACTTCGCATGGTTAGGGAAAGGCAACAGTGAAAATTTTATCACTACTGATCGTCCGATCAAAGTCGTCTGCTAGGTGAACAGAAACTTACCAAAAGCAATATGTTTCCGTCTCCTATGTATTTATAAAGCCGTCACTATGCATAACAAAGCCAGAACTATATCTACAAAAGAAAAGTGTCTAGCGTCTTATCTCACCATGAACTTAATTTGTAAATTGTAATTATTTAAGTTATCATTTTATTTTACTTTATTTTGTTTATCTTCTGAAACTTTTATGAATTACTCTCTCTATGTCACTCTGTTGAAGTTATAACCCTAACGGGTTTACTTTTGCTTATATATCATTTTCGAATTTTATTTTATCGTATTGCACTATCTAATTTCTATGATGTTCTTAATTTAATTTTGATCGAACCACTCTTCAGTTTTACTTGGGCTGTGCATTCATATTTATAGTTGTATGGTAAATCTACCATACAAATATAAATGATCTCATCTAAAAGGAAGTTTTCTTCATTTGATAATTGAAGTCTTGAATCACTTTGATATGCAACAACGTTTTTACACTTATTTCATTTTTTTACTATGTTTGATTAATCATTAAAAACACAAGTATATACTCGATTGTACAGCCGTGAGAATGAAGTTTCTGTGCAGAAATCTTTTCGTTCAGTCATTCCCTGGTTTTAACAAAATTAGTTTGAATTTAGCAAAAACATGCATTTCTATTCAAATTAGTTGTATTTGGCGGGTGTACTCTTCTCGTGATGAAACATCTCAATACTTTACTACAATCTTAGGCCCCCAAGTGCTCTGGTACGGCCGAGAGTGGGCAGAGTCCGCTCTTCCTCTCGAAATGCTCTCACATGGCCACGCGTATACAGCCACTCCCACGGAAGTCCTACTCACTACCTTCTCAAGGCGGGGGTGCTGTTTACGAAATCGGAAGGAAGAAAAGCGAATGTCCGGTGCTTCAACCGGGTTGGTGGATATGGGGAGTCCACCTAGGAGAGTTGGAAAACCCTGATTCCAAACCAATGGTGCACATGGGCTCCAGTATCCTGAAGGAACAAATGGCGTATAAACCAATCGTTGGTCATCGGCTACTATGGGACTACATCTTCTGAAGTTGCTCCAATGCCTTGTGGATTAAGCCTCTAAGTTAAAGGCTCCGGGTGTGGCCCTCTAATAAAACCACCTGTTTCGGTTTGAGCACCAGGGTAGTATCACAGCCCTCACACATATCAAATGAGATTTGTGTGGCACATATGTATTTGATTCGTCCTTGTACCAATATCTATGTGTTAAAATAAACAATTTTAGACGACTTAAAATGACTTGTTTTTTCATCTTATTGTGACAAAAATCTTGAACTTTACTTGTCAAGGGTACTTTATATAGAATATGTGAGCAATCACGGATCCTTATTAATGAATATTTATTAATAATTAGCTTTTTGATTACTAGCATTGAGATACTCAGACATTTTATCGTGTGTATTTTTGTATGTGTGCTAGAGTGTTGTCTTCATTTGATTACTTTTGGTTCCAGGAGTTTAACGATCATTGTTTGATTTAATAATTCATTCTGGTTACCTAAAGCACTTCAACTCAAACAGTAGATACTTAGTATTCTAAATCAATCATGCAAATGGTTTACTCAGCTGTTATCCTGTTATTCACGAAAGGTATATAAAATGATCACCCCTGTCGCCATATATGGTAATATTCACTTGTAATTAATTGCTTAAGAAGTATCAGTTGTATATTGTAAAGGCATCAAATTAAAGACGTACACAACGCAAGTTTTTTAATCTGCAAATGATGATTCACTCATTAAGACTAGGAACTTTAGTAGGTCTGAATGAGTGTGGTCGTTGTTATGGTTACTTCATAAGTTACTTTAACAAAAATATAAAATCCTTGTCAGTTAGTTTGAGGTAGTGATTAGAAAACTGTAGACCTGGCTTACTTACTACTTTGGACCTGTCAACAAGGTGTACCTTTAGTCTTAGGAGAACTGGTGCTTCCTATCAGGTTCGAATTTGCGTCACTCAGCTCTACAGTTTGAGATGTTTTTGTTTGGAATGTAACAGATCTGGTTTAATGTAGGTGGCCAGTATTACAAGATGGATTGTAATAACACAATGAATAAAAGAAATATCGGGGCGATTAATGTAACCAAGTATTCAATTTGTTCATATAACCAACCCTTTAATTCTAATTGAAAATTCTTTCGATGACTGAACTGCTAAGCAAACGACCATATCTTTTGGGGAACTAAATGTGTCATGTATAACGCATAAAATATTTAACGAACATAGTCCGATCTTAAGTTACGTATATGGCAAACTTTAAAAAAACACCAACAAATTCAAGGTACTATGCAAAGCAATAAGATTATATTTCTAATATCCGCATGAATCTATTTGTACCGATTGATGACCTTATTTATTTGCGATATTCTCATTTTTCATTGTTTCAGTTTACGAATTTCTGAAAACACTTCACTGTACAATATTTTCACTGTGATCATTATTAAAGTTTGTAAAATATTAGTTATATTTAGAAACCAATAATCGTAAATTTTGATATCAACTAAACATTATTGTACAGCCAAATGATTTTAAATTTTCTCAACAATTTTAGATTCCATAACACCTACTTATGTATGTGCTGTATTATATGTGAGAAATGATCGTTGGAAGGGTGTTCCATTCATTCTCCGAGCAGGGAAAGGTTAGTTCACATGTTGTTTGTGTATTTTCACTTTTCATTTATTTATTCTTGATCGAGTTTGTTAGGAAAATATGTACTATCAAAATTCTCTAGCAATTTTCCAATCTATTTGTTTAACTGGTGTAACATTTGGAAAATATAACGATAAAATATGGAACTTATCCAATCTTTAGTTACCTTTGATAGATCTGGAAATAACAATGTAAGCCTTGTTGATTGAGGTCGGACACGTTTTAAAGATATATACACATTTACCTTGTACGTCAGCTTGTGATCTTATCTGCATTTATATGAAATCAACATGTAATGTAAGCTGCTTGTTTAATGGTTTATACATGTTTCTGTATGTTTTTAATTTGTACCTTTTTATTCTAATGGTGTAAATAATGATGCTATTAATCCTGACTTCTTTTAATGATTACATACTTGTATTTAGTTTGCATTTGAACTATTATTGTAAATTATGTTCTTCAAAAAAACATATCATACAATAACACTGGTTGGCGATTGAAGGAAATCTACTTCCTGTTATATTTAATGATTATTTAGTAAAATGCATATGCATAGCGTCCTGTGGACTTGAAATACTGTTATCTATATGCCATACTGATAACCTAAGGATATTTTACGTACATTTGTGTTTACAAGTTCTAAGGTAGCTTTGATTAACAGATCTTCATTGACAATATGTTTATCTGTAAACAACAAAATCCAATATGCTATATACATTTTAGTTTTCATAGAACTTATATTTAGATTACGAAATACTCTATAAAAACTCCGATCTTTGGTATTGTAGTGTTAGTCATACGTTTTAGCCCATAATATATCTTATTCTAGTTTTCGGACATTTCATTCTATTCATTCTGCTTGAGTCATATTTTGACCTTGTCAATTATTCACTTATTAGTCTTGACTGTTTTTATATGAGCGTATATGTGGGTACACTTCATGTCCCATGACTCATCGCATGTCTGTCGTTTATTTTGTCTGCCTATAAATATTGAGTAATGCCTAGCTTGAAATGGAGTTGGCTTCCCAGCCATCTTCCATACACTCTGAATGCAGTCAGATAGCTGGTCGCCTCAGTATTAATGAAACTCTTCGAGAAAACTTAAGACATATATGGCTACCAAAACCGTCTATTTGATAATGCTATTTTGGTTATGGGATATGATCACAAAATAAAAGACAGAAAACTTTCAATGCTTTGCTTTTCAGTATTAAACTTAAGAAATTTATTAATATGGTGAATAGTTCAATGCTTGAGACTATCAGACACTGTGTGTCATCAGCATGAATTTCGATACGTTTTCCTGTATTTGGACAACTAGATAATGATTTAGTCTCAACACAATAGTCATGCCGTACTTCAGTCGACCGTCTTCTTAACAAAAATTAAATAAATATTATTAGATTTGGTAAATGGCATGGAAATTCATCTACTAGTTTTGTACCGAGTACACAACTTTCTTTAATTATTAAGATAGTGATTGTCTCATATTAGACGTTACCGAGTTTATTTCGGTCAATCAGCAGAAAAAAGATGAGAAAATTGTCACTTTTTATTCATGAGTCAGCACCCAGAACTCAGGAATTTAATGGGCAATATTGTTGGGTTTTCACCGTCGGTCATGGATAGAATTTTAGTTTACTGATATTCCATGAAACGACTAGCTTCAGGGGAGCTCCTGCTATACTCCGGCCATGAAGAAGAAAATGCCCCACATACACAAGGAGCTGCATTGATGCTGTCCAAACAAGCGCAAAATGCACTTACAGGACGGGAATCTCATAGACCAATGACCATCAAAGTCTCCTCCAAAACAAAGAAAGAGAGCATTTCAATGAACATCATCCACTGCTATGCGCCTACCAACGATTACAACGAACACGCTATAGATCAATTCTACAATAGTCTGCAGTCAATCATCGAGAAGTGCCCAACAAAGGACCTGACCATTCTGCTGGGAGATTTCAATGCCAAGGTTGGAATGAACAACACTGGATATGAAGACATCATGGGACGACAAGGAATGGGAGAAAGGAACGAAAAATGGTGAGAGATTTGCAAACCTATCTGCTTTCAATAAACTGGTCATAGGCGGCACCATATTCCCACATAAGCGCATACACAAAACCACATGGACTTCACCAGATCACACTACACAAAACCAAATCGACCATATCTGCACCAATAAAAAGTTCAGGAGGACAATGGAAGACGTGAGAACCAAGAGAGGAGCTGATATAGCATCAGATCATCACTTGCTGGTCGCCAAGATGAAATTGAAACTCAAGAAGCACTGGACAACGGGGCGGACAACATCACAAAAGTTCAATACGGTCTTTCTTCAGGATACTGACAAACTCAACAAACTCAAGATAGTCCTCAGCAATAAGTCCCAGGCCTTTCAGGATCTACTCAATAGAGAAGTAACTACTATGGAGAGCAACTGGAGGAGGATCAAATAAGCAATCACTTCAACATGCCACGAGGTTCTGAGCCACAAGAAGCATCACCACAAGGAATGGATCACTGTTGATAAACTGGATAAGATTCAAGAAAGGACGAACAAGAAGGCAGCAATCAATACCAGTCGAACAAGAGCAGAGAAAGCCGAGGCACAAGCTGAATACACAGAAGTAAACGAGCACGTGAAGAGGAGCAACAGAAATGACAGACGTAAATATGTGGAAGATTTGGCAACGACGGCGGAAAAGGCTGCAAGAGAAGGAAACATGAGACAACTGTATGACATAACAAAGAAACTCTCAGGAAATCGTTGCAAACCGGAGCGACCAGTGAAAAGCAAGGAAGGCATGGTAGTCACCAGCATTGAAGAGCAACGAAACAGGTGGGTAAAACACTTCAATGAACTCTTGAATCGACCAGCCCCACTGAACCCACCGGATATCGAAGCAACACCCACGGACCTCCCAGTCAATGTTGAACCACCAATAATTGAAGAAATCAGCATGGCCATCGGGCAAATCAAGAGTGGCAAAGCAGTAGGACCAGACAACATTCCAACAGAGGCACTGAAAGCAGACGTAGAGGCAACTGCAAGGATATTCCACATCCTCTTCAACAAGATTTGGGATGAGGAACAAGTACCAAAAGACTGGAAAGAAGGACTTCTTGTCAAAGTACCAATACGGAGATAGTGGATAGTCTTGACGGACATCACTTGAGGTGGCAAAATCGGATGACACTTCGCCTAAGCTCTGACTTGATTAGTAGTGTTCGAGTAAAGAGCCTTCACAAGGTTTATGTACTTCTGAGGTACGCTTATCAGTGACAGACGCTGCCATAGAACCTCTTGGTCTACAGAGTCAAATGCTGCTTTCAAGTCAAGAAAAATTATTATTGTCGGACACCGATAAGCTTGCCTGTGTTCTGATCAATAGTGAATATGTGGTTGGTACAATCACGACCAGGTCTGAAGCCAGCCTGGTTTTCTTCATGCCCGATAATTGTATAGGCTAGTATTTTAGATCAAATACCAACAGACTGGATAGAAGGACTTCTGATCAAAATACCAAAGAAAGGCGATCTCAGCAACTGTGATAACTACAGGGGCAATACCAGAAAAAGTCTTCTACAGGTTGTTGTTAAACACGATGAATAACTCCGTAGATGCTCAACTTCGAGAACAACAGGCTGGATTCCGTAAGGATATATCGTGTACAGGCCAAATCGCAACTCTACGGATCATTGTGGAACAATCACGTGAATGGAATTCATCACTCTACATAAACTTCATTGACTATGAGAAAGCATTTGATAGCGTGGACAGAACAACACTGTAGAAGCTTCTTCGATACTACGGCGTGCCTCAGAAGATAGTCAATTTCATGCGGAATTCCTATGATGGATTAAACAGCGAAATTGTGCATGGAGGACAATTGACAGACTCGTTCGAGATAAAGACCGTTGTCAGGCAAGGTTGCTTACTCTCACCCTTTATCTTTCTCATGGTGATCGACTGGATCATGAAGACACCAACATCTGAGGGGAAGCACGGCATACAGTGGACATCTAGTATGCAGTTGAACGACCTAGACTACGCAGATGATCTGGCCCTTCTATCGCACACGCAACAACAAATGCAGGAGAAGACGACCGGTGTAGCAGCAGCAGTAGGTCTCAATATACACAAAGGGCAAAGCAAGATTCTTCGATACAACATAGCATGCACCAATCCAATCACAATTGACACAGAAGATTTGGAAGGTGTAAAAACCTTTACATATCTGGGCAGCATCATTGATGAACATGGTGGATCTGATGCAGATGTGAAGGCGAGGATCGGTAAAGCAAGAGCAGCATATTTACAACTGAGGAACGTCTGGAACTCAAAGCAACTGTCAACCAACACCTAGGTCAGAATTTTCAATACAAATGTCAGGACAGTTCTACTGTATGGGGCGGAAACCTGGAGAACTACGAAAGCTATCATCCAGAAGATACAGGTGTTTATTAACAGTTGTCTACGCAAAATACTTCGGATCCGTTGACCGGACACTTAGCAACAACCTACTGTGGGAGAGAACAAACCAGATTCGAGTGGAAGAAGAAATCAGAAAGAAGCGCTGGAAGTGGATAGGACACATTGAGGAAAGCACCCAACTGCGTCACAAGGCAAGCCCTCACATGGAATCTTGAAGGCTAAAGGATGAGAGGAAGACCAAAGAACACATTACGCCGGGAAATGGAAATAGAAATGAGAAAAATGAACAAGAATCGGATGGAATTAGAAAAGAAGGCCCAGGACAGAGTGGGCTGGAGAATGCTGGTCGGCAGCCTATGCTCCATTGGGAGTAACAGGCGTAAGTAAGTAAGTAAGATATTCCATGGAAGTGTCATAATGTCTCTTAAATGATTCTTGTTTTTCAGACATATTATTTATTATTTTCTGGGGAGCACATTATTTACTAAGAGGATAAGTATACTAAATTTGATTTAAAAAAAGGTCTTTATGTTTTTTAGATTAGAATTTGGAAACGTTTACTTTTACCTTTACATCTGTTTTTTTCTCAAATTTTTGGTATGCAGCACTAAATGAACGTAAAGCAGAAGTCAGAGTTCAGTTTAAAGAACCTCATATTCATCTTTTCGGTTCAAAAGAAGGTCTACCACGTAATGAATTAGTTATACGTGTACAACCGGACGAAGCAGTTTATATTAAATTAAATGTGAAATCTCCTGGTATGAAATTTCAAACAGAAGAAACTGAATTAGACTTAACTTATGCTCAGCGATATAAAGTATAGTTTTCTTTTCTCTTCTATTAATGTATTATTAAATATTATCAGGCCATCAAACTACCCGACGCTTACGAACGATTGATTCTCGATGTATTCTGTGGAGTTCAGACAAATTTTGTACGTTCTGATGAACTACGCGAAGCTTGGCGTATTTTAACACCGGTATTAAAATACTTGGAAGAAAATAAAGTCAGTCCATATCCATACGTTTATGGGAGGTAATTGAAATATATTTTTGTTTTCATTGCACAAATTATGGTTAGATTCACCTACTGTTTTGAAACTTTTATTGACAATTCATAAGTTGAACTCGCTATCTCAATGAAGTATGCATTAATGGGTTCAGTCTAGATTCACCCGAACATCATGCGTTTGTATTTAAAACTTTGCTTATTGTAGAAGCATCGTGCTTAAAAACTAATGCACTTTTTTGCTTACTGAATCTAAAAGGATACTTTTATAACTGTTTTTACACTAGTATATAAACAGTTAAATATCTGTCCATAAAGAATTGTGGATCCGTTTGGATAGATGGAATAGACCTGTCCTATCGGCTGTCAAGTGTTTATTTAAAAAACACCAACCATAGTTATTACATGTATCTATGTTTATTTTAAAAAAAATTGCCTAAATCCATTGCTTATTAGTCTTGTTTATGTTAAAAAACGTCAGTTAACTTAATTACCATACTTATCAACTCAACGGCTACGTACTCATGGTAATTCTAAGAAATTTTCAATTTATAGAATGAATAAATGATGTACACTATTGAAAAAAACCGAAATCGTGATTGAATATTTATCTATTACCTCGAGTTTTTAGTTATCAGATTTAGGTCAGTTCTGAACTAAACGCAAGAACATCTTTAACAGAGTTGCTATTGATATAATCTTCAATGGCTAAATCGATTTCAGTGTTATTGACAAATGAAATCGATTTTGATCAATGGTTTATACCATGTACTCACATCTGGAGAAAGAGTCAATTAGCTATATCTGTTGATTATAAAGGCTTAATTGTATGATACTGCAACTATGTGCTCACGTAGTAAGCTATTGATTAACTGATATTAAATATTACTCAGTTTAATTTATGCAAATCTGACTATAAGTAAGTCATATAAAAAGTGATGTATTCATATATTAAATTATTCCCGGGGTCATATTAAATTCATATAAGTAGTCTCTGTGTTTTAACTACGCGCCGTCGGATTTTAGGGTTTCGTACCAAGGATAAGTCATTTAAGCAGTCAACAGACATATCACTTATGTACCATCAGTTACGGAAGCCACGGAATATTGTTCGGCCTGCTTTACTGCATCATAAATCGGACTGAATCTAAGATTCCAACCACATCTATTACCAGCTAAGTAGACTTGACACTTAGAATTTGATGAATAGTGCAGGACGACTTATAATTAAAAGAAAAGCAAGTACACATATGGAAATTACTCTTTATATTCGTAAACCAAATGTCCGTTAATTTATTTCCATATTTCTATTTCAGTCGTAATGGCCCGAAAGAAGCAGATATTTTGTGCAAAAAAGCAGGTTTTCAATACTCTGGTACATATGTTTGGAAATCAGGTTAAAAAATATTCATTCCGTCAGTTTGCGATAACTCAATCAATTATATAAAAGATCCACATGTTTTAACTTATTTGAATGCCTTAGTAATTATGAACAGAACATTCGACTTATTTGTTTCTTTACAGCCGATTTGCTTTAAGATTTTATTGTAATAGCACTTTTGTAATAATATTGTCACAACAAACTATATACAAATATATAAATCTGATTAATATATATAACTCGAATACGATAGTAGTTGTTGTTCGGTTAGTTTTATAATGCACATTGTTTTGGACCAATAAACAGCACTTTCAGCCATTATTGTAAACCAATGTTACTGTTTGACACCGCAGCATTTTCAACTTATAAACACCTTACACGAGAATAGTAAATTAGCGAAATTAAAGTACTTTACTAGTAATCTGTGTGTCCTTATTTTGTTGGAATAATTCAAATTCGCCTTGCATGACCACTTATAAATTGACGATTTCCTACAGTACTTGAACTCATTAGAATTTAGGAACTAGATAAAAAACAGGTATACATGTTTATCATGTTCACAGGATCAGCGACAACCATACCACCTTAATGTTTTGAACTCGTGCTGTTTAACTCAGAAATGGAATACGCGGCAGATGAGTTGTCGAGGAGTGTCAACTCATTCTTTAAAGGTCACTGAAACAAATGAATAAGCTTTTCCATGAGTTCTAGTCATTTAGCCGGGAGGAAACCGGTAGTTAAACTGTTTTCCTTTGGTTGAGAGAATACCGTCTAGGTATGAAAGTGTTTGGTAGCATAAGTTAATTAGTACTTTGGTCTGACTGGGCTATTTTCTCCTCGATCACTTCAGCGAAGAGGAAACCTAAGTATCTCGTCGTTTTATATGCAACTGGTGACCCATGGATGTGTATATTAGTCTGCATACTCGTCAGTTGACAAAGTGGTTTTAAATAAAATGTGGTACGCCTGGGATTTATACATTTTTCTTTATCTCCTTATGAGCGCTCAACAGAGCTATTATGATAATACTTGTTATGTTTGGTTCTTGGCGTATGATTTTGTTACTTTTCCATGGTTAACTTCCTGTGATGCAAGTGCATAAACTTGAGCACGAAATTCATCGTCTTTATATTTGTTTCTCTGATACAGAATGATAATGTTTTCATGCTTCCTTAATGCAGTGTACAAGAATCAAGAGAATAACTTGTGTACATAGCCGTTATTAAAACACTTAGTTGAACAATATGTCTATATATATCTTATACAGTATTGCGGTAACTTAAAGTACCCATCGTTTAGTAGCTAGTAAACTACCATCTTCATACGTAACCAAAATGTGGTGAAATTAACATGCCTTTTTGTTGTTATTTAATCTAATGCACTTCAGCGGTGATTATGAGTTGGATTGCACGGCTGCTTCATGTCTATTTTATGATAACCGGTGATAGAAGCCGACTGTTAATACGTGTAATTGGGGCTCATTTAAAACCTAGGGCTTGAAGATGCCACAAGCATTCAGAGATTGACGATGCTTTTACACGTAACATCTTTGCATTCGAAGTAAACCATTCTAGTCAAATTAATTTGAAATGAAGAGGTTCGAAGATATATTTGGAAAGCTATCTATATGTCCAGAAGCGTTTGGTCTAAGAGAGCCAGCAGTTACAGAAGTGGCGTACCCACTTGTGATCTGGTGCGGATGTGTGGGCGAGTGCCTTCACTTAGGTTGTGTCCAGTAAAACTAATGAGATCAGAATCAATATCGAAGACTTCTTGGTCTATACGACCTAAATGGATGCTTCAGTTGTGGTATCAGTAGTAAAAGAATGTAGAAACACTTGTTCGGTGCTAAACTCCATACCATATCTGTTAAACAGCTGTTAAAGTTTATTTATCGCCCATCTAAGTCACTCCATTGGTCATCTGCTGCCATGGTCCAGAGATAGAATTCAGAGTTCAGTGCTTATGACTTCACCATTCAGTAAAAAGTAGTTAAAGGTATATCGCATGCAGATTATTTATCACTTTCAACGTCTATCACGCACTGACCGTCTTAAAGCTGAGTATTTAGGAGGAAACCCCAATAATGTTGATTTTCTTATTGTACACTTTTTAACCCACGGAGTTTGTGTTGCATCTGAGCTTTAGTTCACCTCTAAGATGCTTATACTCTAGTAAAGCTGCTTAACAGAATAAACTCACAGGATTAGAAAAATATTTTTCGATTATTTTTATCTAATTCTGAAGGCTATTTCCTTTGTTGGCCTTTGTGTATTGGTTCCATGGTTGCTTGAACTGCCCAAACGTCTTGTTTTCACTAGATCGTCTATATTCAGCCTAGTAGTATTTTTGATTCTCGGACCGCGACTTCGTATAACTTTGTGTTGCTTGTAATTCTCGAAAACGGTTTGCAGGACAAGCTGGAATACAGCATGTAAGATAGTGTTTATTGTGCGTTTAAATCAATAATCGAGTAGGCTCCCCTGTTCACCTACTGTAGTTTGTTTTGTAGAGCTGATGCATCCAAAAGTTTGAAATGCCTGTCTTTTTTGAGTAAGATTATTTTGTTCCGTTTTGTGTGATATATATAAGTATTATTTTATTATTAAGAAATCTTAGGAATAACAGAACCACAACGGAATCATTATTTCATATAGGCACTACATTCCACTGATGAAATTAGAGTCTAAGATGTCGTGATTTGGGGAGCCACAATTAAGAGTCCGCCAATTAGAAATTCCTCATTTGTAAATGTGCAGTCAAAGCACGATGTTCTCTGCTCGTATCTCCACTGGGTTGCTATGTTCCCGTTTCTGAATTATCATAAATCTTCAATGAGGTTGAAGAACCGGGCTTCAATAGAGCTGTCCCTCCCAATTTGCATGTGTCCCGTGTAATTGATTCTATAAGATTAGTCGACTCCAATGTGTACCATTGGTGTGCCATCAAGCAAGATCATAGGTACAGGGCAGTTTCTCCCTTAATTCCTGTTTCTTGAAGTTGTGGATCAAAGACATATTGGGTATCGCCAACCTCTGGTCTGTTATCCGAGAAGATAACCATGTCTATGGTGCTCTTATCAGGTTCGTATTATTATCATTTCCTGGTTAATGCAAATTATCCATATTTTCGGTAAACTCACAGAGTTCGTATGACGATTTCAGTTTGAAAAATATGAGCCTCCATGCCACGTATGTCTTAACGAGTTTTATATGAATATACATGTAGCCTACCTAGACAAAGTTTTCTGAGCGTTTAGTCTCTGTTCCTTCTACACGTTTCCCTGCATTTGGCATTCCGCAGGTTTTCTTCAGTACCTAATTCTTGAATAATGTTACCTGTCCAGATGCATATGAGGCGTCTATGATGAGGAAATCAAGTTTACTGAGGGAAATTAACACCGTTGATATTATGAGGGTGATGGGCTTTGGCATATCCTCACAAGTTTTGATGAGTGTTCCACCAATACAAATATTCTCAAAGACTCTCTTCTCAACATCGGAGGACGTCTTTTCTAGCCGCTTCAGAACTATTTTCTTGAGTTCTTTACGATCTTTTATTTAACGTGTCAAGAGGATGATACTGTTCAGTAAATCCTCAGCACCTATGTTCCATGCGTCACATGTTTACTGACGGTCTGATTTACTAAGTTGGAAGCTGCTATAAGGGTTGCCGTATTTAATGAAACCGAACATTTCACTTGTCACATTCCATTATCTAGATGGTAGAAAAAGTGCATCGAAGTCGTTTGCAAGTGATCTTAGTGATTCTGGTGAAATATAAGTTGCTTAACAAATTGTGACAGAAAATCAAAACATCTACGGGATAAATAAAACAAATTAAAACGACTGATGTAGAAGTTTGGACATATTTGAACGAGCTTTGACGTCAAAAGTAACCATGCTTCCATTGCGTAAGGCCACAGGAAAATATTGAGCACTGAAATTATGTTCGTTTAGCGTGCGTGCGAATTCGCTAGAAAATTCGTAGACACTGCTTCAGTGAGTCTATTTAAACTCATTTGTAACAAATTATTCATTGTTTTTAAGACGTCATATCACTGATAATTTAATTGGTCATCATGATTTAGTTGCGTACAACATAAAGTTTCGCGTTACACGTGTGACCTTTGGTGTAGGCCGTCACCTTTGTAAGCTACTAGGAGGACGTGGTTCTACAACATTCATGTTGTAATCGTTTGTAAGTTCGTTCGAATGTCTGCTACCAGTCAATTTCAATCAGAGAAACTTATTTTGAGACGCACAAATATTCAAAATATCCCGTTTTACTTTTTATGATCAAATTAGTGGACGCTTGTCTTTCAAATTTTGTAATAACCTCACTAATCATGATTATCTTTTATTTTGCGCCTTTTCTTTCTGAAAACACTTGCTATCTAATATACATCTCGATTTGCGTTTTGAGGAATAAGAACACCGTTGCCTTTTTAATCGAGATTTTGACCTCTTATGCGAATAATACTAGTGTACTTTTTGTCGACGTACAGACTATTGAAATTTCACTTAATCAGTAAGTAGCTAGCGTAAACGAAATGATATGTAGTTTATGATCTATACGGTTGCATATTTTCTCAAATGTGCTGTCTGTGGTGATTAATGTACTCTTCCCCTCAGAAGATCGAATTACTTCTGTAAAACCCTATATATCCCGTACTATACGAAGTATTTGGTGGTGAGCAATTGAAAATGGTCATAAAGTTTATGTACTAGGTGTCTATGTATTGCTTGTAGTAGTTTTAAACAATTAACCTGTGTATGCTTATAATTAGTGACTTATGTCAATTAAAACACCAATTTCAGCGAAGGGATCTCTTTTAAACGAATTTATTATCAAGCTGTACAATCGTATATATATGAAAAAATTTTTGATTTTGTAAAATTTTGTAAATTCCGTGAGGAAATGTGAACACAGTTAATAAAAAGGTTATAATACTAGATTACGTAATATGAATAATAATAATAACAATAGATTTAGTGATTATAATAAGATGATTAAAATGATTGAAATGTTTTTGTTATAATAATAATTAAAGGTCATAGAGGTGTAAAAATAAATAAATATGGTGATATGATGAGTATTCACTAATAAAACAATCAGAATATAAGATATAAGTAAAGGGGAGAATGCAGTAATAATAATAATAATAATAATAATTGGATAATCAAAATACTTAAGGCCAAGGTAACGATAATGATAAGACGTACTTCTTTTGTACGCATAGTTCTGGTTTAAGCTCCTGGATGGTAAGAGCTTCGGCTATTTTTAAAAGTTGGATGCGAAGAAATCTGGGTAGATTTGAACGAATCATATAAACAATCTTAAATTCATTTCTTGGATCAGTGGAATGGTTACA